TAAATACGATTCTATGAATGTGAACATTTTACCTGTAAACCACGAGTGTCCAGACGACTGCTGCCAACAGAATCTTGTATCTTTTGAAGGCGAGGGTGCACCCGTGAAGAAAGAGAGGAAGATGAGGACCGATCACGACGGCAAAACCCTGAGTGAGGTACCAGTGCCAGGGATGAGAGCCGTAGAAATCAGCCACACCGTAGAAGATGTTAAACTTCAGGAAGTTAAACTGGACCATGGTCCACTGGAAAAACAGAGAGAGAAACTTTTATTTGACTTTACAAGCAGAAGTTACTGTGTTTAAAAATCATGTGGATTTAAAGTTTTACCTTCTCATAGAATATACAGTCGATCAGTGTGGAAATCACAACAGCTGCGGCTCTGGGAAGGAGGGAAAAGGGGGATTATGTGATAAAGACACAAGCATGAAATACAGATATTGAGCTGATGAGGGATTAAAAGTACAAACCCGATAGGAAGGAAGTTATGAGTGATGAGTCTCAGTTTGTTATCTTCCTGCCAGAAATGGTACGTCAGCAGAGGAACCCAAACAATCAGAGCTGTCGGTCGGACAACGACCGCCAAGGCAACCAGGGTCAGATACGTTTTGCTAGAAAAACATAAACAGTGTGTCTGTAAATAATCTGGTTTTAGAGACGAGATACATTAAGAAAAGGTAAAGCTGTGACGAGTCCAGACCTGCTGTGTGTTTTGGACCCTGGGAGGGGGAAGTAAAAAAGAGCGAGAGAGGTGAGGGTGGTCTCCATGCTGTTGGTCAGAGTCCTGGTGCAGCAGTACCACGAGAACCACGAGCACAGATGACAGAAGAACTAGAAGAAGAAGAAACAGTGAGGCAGGTTGAGTACTAGAGAGCGGAGACTGTGTGAGACCTCAAATGATTGTACTCTCGATTCCTTTGTATGTCTGGTGCATGTGAAGTAATTGACATTAAAGCTGACTTTGATTGTGATCAGACCAAGATTATTAGTAACTATTACTAAAACTTTACTGAAAACTAAAACCAGGTGTGAAAATCATTTTATTTAACTGAAACAGAAATAAAAACTAGACTAACTGTAATGATATTGTGTGTGTGTGTTGACTTATTAGTTATTATTGTTGAGTTATTACAGTTTCATATTTTTCATTTGTTTTAATTTGTTTAGTTTTTTCAATTTAGCTTTTTAATGTTTAACAAAGTTTACTTTTTATTAGTTAGTTTGTTGGTTTTCTATTATTATAAAAGTTCACAAATTGGGAAAAACATTTCCTGTATTACTTTATTTTAATTTGTAAATACACAATAGTATTTTAATCTAGATTTTTTCCCCCCAATTTTTAAAAATTTCAGTCAACTAAAACATTTTCACACCTAATTTTGGTTTTTAACTTTAGTTTTAGTTAATTTGTCAAACAACGTAAACTAAAATGTTAAAAAGCAACAATAACTCTGAATCTGACTACTGAATGCTTCAATCCAACCCGTCTTTCATTCCTCACCACTGCAGTAAATCACACAGTTTACAGTTTAAACTCACCGTCCATGTTGCAACATCACGACTTTCCAATGTTCGGATGAGGAAGAAG